GCCTCACAAGTTACTTTGTCAAACTCCTTTGCTCTTCTCTTGATTGAGCTGTGCTTCCATCTGTTGTTACTCTGGCATGATCCGCCTGAGAGTGCATCCATTTGAAGCAATCAGACCATTACTTGAGGCGAAATGGTGGTGATGCTCCACATTGTCTTTGACAGCTTAACCTGCTTAGATCTCCTTTAGACTTCACCCTACTTGGCATTGAGCGCGCATAGGGTTTAGAGTGCATACAGGAGAAGTCTTTCATCAACTGGTATTGTTGCACCTGCTTGGACTTCTTTTCTAAACTAAGTGATTGCCAAACGGAATGGTAGAGATTGATCGTCTACACCGAATTCTTTGAATGGATTCATCTGGATATCCAAAAGGATATCGTTGACGCGTGCGCAAGTGCTGAAGATTGCAGGACCGATTAGGTGGTGCAACATAGTATCGCGCCTCGGGGCATGCGCTTGCTGGCTGATCATAGAAGCCATATTCATACATTCAAAACAGAGCATCTCCAAAGTCAGCTGCTTTGCACTGTTTGAGGTACAAGCAAATCTTCTGACGGAGGATTTTCGTATCTGAACTTGTGACGTAGATTCTATCTTCTCATCTCGAGGTCAATCGTAGTATGTGGCGTGTTATTCGAGAAGTTGTTTGCAAGATTCATGTAGTGCCATGAAACTTGAACACACGTAAAGGAACTTCTGCACATAAAATCTCCAGCTCGACTCTCGTCAAAGGTTGTGAACAAATCTCCAAACGTTGCTGTGGAGACTCCAGCCAGAGTCGAATATACCAACACCGCATTCCTTGGCCGCGTGGGCAACTCGCAAGCCGTCGACCACTTCTGCTTCGAAGCTCGTACTGTAATGAACCAAGCTCCGAGTTCCAAGTAGCGGTACGGGTCGGTTCCATGCCTGCCAGCTGCGGGAGTGGAAGACCTTCATTTCAGTCCTGATCAGAGGAGTTACGAGACTCAGTCGAATCAATCGAGTGGAATGACAGTCACTCTTCGCAGTCCCTGGTCTTCGGCACTGGTACCACCGGTACCGGTCCGTGTGAAGCCCTAAATTTTGCTTGGTGACTTTAACTCCGGAGTTGCAGCTTGCTCAGCCACCGGTCACAAAAAGACACAGGATGGCACTGGTCACAAAAACACAACGAAGGATGCCCTTCAAGTTTTCTTTCAACTCTGCTCGGATGAGGTGTCTCTTCTAGGTAGCTAGTAGTCACCAAGTCAACTTCAGCAGCAGAGGGATGGACTGCTTGGTCTCAAACATCTTGTCGTTTGTAGTGAGAGACAAAGGCATTCGCACCGAGTAGTCGCATTTCAGTAGTATCATCATCATCCACAAGAGAATTGACCAACCAAACGCCGCCAGAAGATTTCACAAGAAGTCATGAAAAACTCGTTCCAAAATAGCACTTCGAGTGATTATGACGATGTGGAAGTAAACAAGAACAAAACGAGATCAGTCCATTTTCTCTGTGCTCTGGGAGTGCTTATATTCATGGCATTCATGTCCACACATGCTTCCTCGCAGTTCAGAAACGAGGAAGTTTTTGTGTCGCTAAAGAATAATACTGCTTCACATGTGGCCACGACAACCGCTGTGATCACGCCAGAAGAAGAATCAACAACAAGATCGCGAGTGCCCTCTCCACAGGGAGCTTCCACAAACAGCGAGAAAGAACCGGCTATTACCAACGTGACTGTGTTTCTCACGACGCCGGAAAACCCCTCAGACAGCATTTTCAAAGCTGGTACTCTGCAACGCTTTGGTTCTGGAAAGATTCGCTACAACATTCAAGAGGGGAACTGCACGTGTGACAACACTACCGAGCCAGTGATAGTGGAAACTCCCTGCTTGGCGGTCAGTCAGTTTTGTGACAGCCGAATTCTCAAGTGCCATTATCCACGGTGCAAAACGGTGATTACCAATGATGAACGTTGCAGGAAAAAAGGGAGAAGATACGATGTGAGAGAATACTACAACGCCGATTTCCCCAGCAAACCATACCTGCCTCTGGGACCACGGTTAGATTCGTGGACATCCTTTCAAAAGATCAAAGCCAGCAAGGGAGATCAATTCACTATCCTTCCAGCATCCAAGCGCAAGTATGCCTTTAATGCCATCTTTTCCAAGTCAACCAACGATGGTCGGGTGCGACTTGCCAATATCATCGATAATAGCCATCACAACAACAATACTAATAGCCAGCTGACCATTTTTGCTCAAATGGCCGAAAAATGGGTCAAAAACATCAACAATCCAAAACGGAAATCAGGTCATTTGCATACAGACCAGTACATCCAGGTTGTTCTGGATAGCACATTCACGTTGGCACCCACAGGGCATAATCCAGAATGCTTTCGGCTTTATGAAGCCATCGAAGCAGGATCCATTCCGGTCTTTGCCCGGGATGAAGATTATGCCAATCAAAATTGTAAGGAATCACTCCACGCCTGGTTGGATGTGGAACCCAAAGCGCCCATCCTAGTGCTCGACTCGTGGGATGAGGTGTATTCTACAATTGAAACGTTGTTGCAAGATCCAGCAGCACTGGATGAACGGCAGGCCCAGCTTTCGAAATGGTATAAAAAACACATGCGCAAGGTCACGAAAAAGTTTGAACGATACCTCCTGAGAGGACAATAATAATGAAACTAAAAGAAGAAACTGCCTTTACATGGAGGTTTGCAAGCTAGTGAGGTGAATGTGCACACTCTAATCATATCTTTTTGGATAGCTAAAGGTCTTCGTCTGTTACTTGTTTGGCCAGCTCTAGTTTGGGCTCCGGAGCAGCCATGTCGTTGTCGTCTTCGTCTTTGCTGTCGTCGTCGTTGTCGTCTTCGTCTTGGCTGTTATCGGGTGTCTTGTTGTATTCCACTTCTACTTCTCCCTTTTCCATACATTCTTCTTCTAATTGTTTGGCCAGTTCCAATTGCTGCATCTCATAGGGCCGTCCTCCCAGCAAGGATGGATAGCAACTGAAGCATTTTGACAAGACACCACTGAACATGATGGTCCCAAAAATGGGGTAGTAAATGATGTAGGTGAACATGAGCTCCACAAAGTAGCTGGCAACAAAGAGGTAGTCTTCAAAGTTCTGTTCCTTGTAGAGTGATTCCAACTGTTCCTTGACAAGAATATGGGACTCCAAAATATCGGGGATGTCACTGGCCATGACAATGGGGGCTTCAGTAAAGTTGCTGGTGCCAAATGTGTCAAGCTCTGTCATCAAGAATGCTGAAGTATAATTGGTGCCATTGGTGTCATTGAAAAGAGGACTAAAGTCAAACTCAATAAAAGTATTGCTGGATTCAAGAGAAGCTCGCAGCATGACAGAAAAGGATGTAATTGCCATGACCACAAGGACAACAAGAGTGGTCATGAAGGCGCCTGATTTGCGACAAGTATTGGCTGCTTTGCTGTCAGCATGAGTGAATTGAATGCAGGTACATCCAGCCAGTAGCCACGCAAAGCTGTCGTAGAGTCCATGAAGGGGTGCTCCCAAGAACCAAAGCACCAAATTTCCAGAAGTGACAGATACTTGTGAGATGGCACTGTCCAAGTCACTATTGCCCACTGTGAAATTGGTGGTGACTTGCAGAAGTGTTTGATCGGAATCTTGATTGACAAAGACAAAGGTACAGTAGACAGCACTTGTCATGGCCAATCCAAACAACATACTGCCAAAGAGACTAATAGCGCGAATTTTCCAACTCAATGGGTGAAATTTGTGATGCAGGCAGATGCCAAACACAGGGTGATTGTTGGTTTGATACTGCCACCAGTCCTGGGTCATGGTGTTGCCTGGCAAATGATAGGCATGCTGGAGCAAATACGGTATAATTTCATCGCGTTCACGTTGTTCTTCTTCTGTCAATCCATCCGGATCCTCTTCTTCTAGTTCATCTTGGTGCTCTTCAATGGGCATCCCCTCTTCCACATCCAGTGGCGGGGCAGGAGGAGGACTGATCTCTGTGGCCGGTTCATCTTGGGGCTCTTCAATGGGCATCCCCTCTTCCACATCCAGTGGTGAGGCGGGAGGAGGACCGATCTCTGTGGCCAATGCGGCCGACTTCATTGTGCTAGACTCTTGGCTTAATTGGTTTGTCATCTTGTCCCTTTTATGATGGTTCTTTCGGGATTGTTGCGGTGGATGGGCGGAGGAATCCGGAGCATTGGTCTTCGTCGGTCCGAAGTTCCGAGTAGATGGCACGACTCGAGTGCATTAAATCTTTTGTGTGTGTGACAGTTTTATTTAAAAAGTTGGTTTCGGAAGAGCACCCGGCATGACCGCACCAATGCTCTCCCTTACCGTATGGCTGCTAGCTAGCTACCGGTAGCTATCTGCCAGTACGGTAGCCAGTTATTAGGTTCGAGTCGGCGAATGTGACATGCTGTATGTACTACCGTGCGCTCTGACCGAGGACGACATGACGACATGGTCCAAGCATGAGGGAAACCCAGGACCTCTCAACCCTTCAAGGTAAATTATTGATGACAACTGCATGATTCAATTGCCTCGGTTGGAACAGGCACAATGCAAGCAGCTCTCCCTTTCTCAGTATCTCCGTCAAACAATACTCGAGTACCGTACATCTCGGAAGGGTGGAAAGATGACAGCCCCTCCTGAACATTCGAGTAGCCCGCCTCCAAGATTTCCCCCGACTTCTTGCAATAATGGCGAAATCAAAAGAGGTGCGATCAGCCCCTTCTTGTGGCCATGATGGATCCTTGGAAGAAACAGTGCAACGTTACACTACCAGGGTTTGGTGCATTTTCGAAATCTTCATGGCGCACACCAAAGATGGACATTACGTTTGTACGGCAGCCACCTACAATCATTAGCATTGATTGCTGTTCTATCTTTTAATTAAGTAATGTCAGACGCCAGCAAAATTCCTAATCGACGGCATCATTGTATTCCTCATCTGAAAGGCACCGTCACATCGAACAAACTAGCTAGAGCCTGCTCGTCGCTTTGTTGACAACGTCAAACCGATCAAGCTCCATAACCTTGGCAAACGCAGCGCTGAAATCACGAGCAAACCGTCCTTGACTACCTGCAAGGGCATATGTTTCTGCCAATCCACGAAGCACGCTGTGCGATCCAAAGATGAGATCCACCCGACTGGCATTGGGCCAGACGATACGTCCAGTCTTTCGGCACACTCCTTGATACGAATTGTTGTTGTTGTTGCCTGATTTTGCTGGTTTCCATTCAATGGCATCATCCAGTAGATTGACAAAAATGTCGTTCGTCAACTGCCCCACACGATGCGTCAGTACTCCACTACTAGTACTAGTACCACCACCCACACCCAGAGCGCGAAGACCTCCAACCAGCACCGTCATTTCTCGTGCCGTCAATGCCAATCGATCCGCCGTTTCAACCAACCATTCTTCTGGCTTTGCTGCTTCCATGGCGACATCCTTTGCCAAAAAGTTGCGAAACCCGTCGGCTCTTGGTTCCAGCACGGCAAACGATTGGACATCCGTCATGGCTTGTGTGGCATCGGTACGTCCCGGAGTGAATCGCACTGGCACGTCGGATACCGCTTCAATGCCGGCACATCCACCCAGTACAATCAAATCGGCCATGGAAACTTGCACGGGAAGGAACTGTTGATGAAATTCGCGTTGAATCGATTCCAAGATTGCCAGGATGGGCTGTAATCCGTTGTTGCATTCCCAATCCTTCTGTGGTGCGAGCCGAATGCGTGCTCCATTGGCTCCTCCGCGTTTGTCGGTTTGTCGAAAGGTCGATGCCGATGCCCACGCGACAGAAACGAGTTGTGTTGGGGTGAGTCGGGAGAGCATTTGCTGTTTCAACCAAGCCTGATGACGAGGAGCCTCAATGGTAGGATAGGTTTGCGGTGGTACGGGGTCTTGCCATAGCTGCGGAGGTGGCACCTTGGGTCCCAGACAACGAGCAATGGGCCCCATGTCACGGTGCGTGAGTTTGTACCATGCTTTGGCAAATGCCTCCTGAAAGGTTTTGGGGTTGGCATGAAATCGTTTGGAGATTGTGGCGTATTTGGGATCCATTCGTAAGGCAAGATCGGATGTCAACATGATGGGTAAATGCTGTTTGGAAGCGTCGTGCGCATCAGGAACACCAGCACCGTTGTAATTTTTAGGAATCCATTGCTGAGCCCCCGCCGGACTCTTGGTGAGTTCCCATTCATATCCAAAGAGCAGATCAAAATATCCATTGTCCCAGCGAATAGGGTCGACCGTCCAGGCTCCTTCGAGACCCGACGTGATAGTATCACCACCTTTGCCAGAACCCAAGGTATTTTTCCATCCCAATCCTTGTTGTTCGATGGAAGCTCCTTCCGGTTCGGGACCGACAAATTGTTCTGGATTTCCAGCGCCATGCGCTTTTCCAAAGGTATGACCACCAGCAATCAATGCCACCGTCTCTTCATCATTCATGGCCATTCGGGCAAATGTCTCTCGAATATCTCTGGCACTGGCCACTGGATCGGGTACTCCGTTGGGTCCTTCTGGATTGACATAGATCAATCCCATTTGAACGGCTCCGAGTGGTTGTGCCAAATTTCGTTCGTGCTCTTTAGTACTATTGCCAGTAGCATATCGATCGCGATTGGCATCGAGCCATTTGGTTTCACTGCCCCAATCGACGTGATCTTCGGGCCATTCGACATCGACCCGTCCTCCGGCAAATCCCATGGTAGGAAATCCCATACTCTCCAAAGCGACATTTCCCGTCAGAATGAACAAGTCGGCCCAACTGATGCGAGCTCCGTATTTTTGTTTCAAGGGCCACAAGAGACGACGCGCCTTGTCCAGATTCCCATTGTCGGGCCACGAATTCAACGGCGCAAATCGAAGTTGTCCAGAGCCACCGCCGCCACGGCCATCCCAGATACGGTAAGTACCGGCACTGTGCCATGCCATGCTGGACACAACAAAGCAACAAGAAGACGAGATGATGAGAATCAAAAAACAAGAAAACAAAACAAGCAAATATTGTTCTTTCCGTATTCACGGTACGTACCGAATAAAAAAGGGTCCATAGTGCCCATAATCCGCGGGCCACCAATCGACCGAAGAAGTCATCAACTCCTTCAAGTCTCGTTCCACAGCCGAGAGATCCAACTGGGCAAACTGTTGCGCGTAACGCTGCGATTCCTTTTCGGCGTTGTTGTTCTCATTCTTTTTCAAAATCGAAACGTCCAGTTGTTCGGGCCACCAATCGGCAGGACTAGTTCCTTTATTGCCCTGCTTGAAGGATCGAGCATGAT